ATAGGCTCAACTCATCTACTTTTAACACCAAAGTTACAAAAAAAGATTACAATAACATTATAGTTAAAAAAATCCTTGCAGCTTACGGCTAAAATGAAATCTACAAATAATCTGGGTCTTAATGAGGATAATCATCATTCAATAAACACGACCATGTTGCAAGTGGCGTGCTTTCAGCGTTCTACAGGCATTAACCTATTCGATCTTCATAACAACTCTGTGTGCTATGTACTACTATCTTTCCCATTTTACAGATGAGGAAATTGGGGGCAAAAGTTAAGTTATCCACCCATGCTAATACAAGTCATACTTAATTACTTTCCTTCTGGAGAAGGTTTGAAAGAATCAGAAGTGTCACAAAGCACATTTTCACTAGGGAGTTTGACAGAGGAAGAAATCAAGCTGGCTCTCGGCTCTGTGTACTTTCAGTCTTTCTGCTCATTCAAGTATGTGTGTTTCATTCATTAATTTCTTCATTTTACACATATTTATCGAGCATCTGCTATGTACCAAGCATTGGGCAGGCAATAATGGTTAGAAGTCCTAAATATCAGGCAAAATATCAAATTTAAGTAAAAAAATGTTTCCCAAATCCTGTTCAATTTGTTTAGAGATACCTGCCTTTTTGAAATATCCTATTTTGAGAACAATTGAGAGTTCGCCATACTGAAACTCCCACACTGATTTCCTCACATTCATTCAGCCAAGCAAATTTAAACAGAAGTTGATGCTTTTCCTACACAATTTGCAATGACATCACATGATACCTCATATCTAAATAATACGCTTCTAAAGATGACCACATTTGTTTCCGTTTAAATCTTTATCAATTCAAGGTTATTTCAGCACATAGGTGGGAGGCTTATTAAACCTTTACTATTTGAGAAATTGTATTTCTTTTTTTTTTTCCTCCTGGGTTCAAGCGATTCTTGTGCCTCAGCCTCTCAAGTAGCTGGGACTATAGGCATGTGCCACCACGCGCAGCTAATTTTTTGTATTTTAAGAGAGGCAGAGTTTCACCATGTTGCCCAGGCTGGTCTTGAACTCCTGAGCTCAGGCAATCCACCCCCTTCAGTTTCCCAAAGTGCTAGGACTACAGGTGTGAGTCACTGCACCCGGCCTGTATTTCCATTTTTAAGACAAAAATGTATAAACTCGTTCTATAACACTGAGGTATAGGCAATCATCACATATATAACACATGCAAGCGAGTCCAAAATCAAATAAAATATGCAATAAACTAACATAAAAGACAGATTCCAAGAAGTAAAATGTCACACTGAAAACATAGTAATCTGATATTGAGATTTATAGTATTGCAGGGATTTTTTTTTTATGTAAAGCATGAAACAGGGTCTGGAATACACCATCTCAAAATATGCCACTCTGGCATAAGTTCCCATTAGGAATCCTGACCTTCAACTCATAATTGAGTTGAAGACAACTGAGGAAGGGGAAGTGCAACCCTTATTTATTTATTTATTAATTTTTGAGATGGAGACTTGCTCTGCTACCCAGGTTGGAGTGCAGTGGCATGATCTCTGCTTACTGCAACCTCTGTCTCCCATGTTCAAGTGCTCCTCCCACCTCAGCCCCCTAGGTAGCTGGGACTACAGGCAGGCACCATGACACCTGGCTAATTTTTGCATTTTTAGTAGAGACAGGGTTTCGCCATGTTGTCAGGCTGGTCTTGAACTCCTGACCTCAGGTGATCCACTCGCCTCAGCTTCCCAAAGTGCTGAGATTACAGGTGTGAGCCACTGCAACTGGCTGAAGTGTAACTCTTAACACTGGCGACAAAGATGAGTCTGAACAAATGAACCCCACTAAAATAACCCTTATCTTCCCCTAGCTTCCCCATATATTTCCTAGTAGCTTCCCCACAGTTTATCATCCCCTGAAGCCCAAAGTGCCTTTCCTTTATGAAGAAGGGTATGTAAGCTCCCAAGTCTGACCTCTTCTTTGAGTATTACTTTTCTGTGAACTTCCATGCACATAAATTATTAATAACATTTGTATTATTTTCTGCTGTGAACCTGACTTTTGTCAGTTACATTTACAGGCCCCTGATCATTGCACAAGAGAAGCTAAGGAAAGAGTTTTTACTGCCTGACAAGTACGTGGCAGGTCATGTATTCCCCTTGAAAGCAATAGGTTTTATTTTAAATTTAAATAATACAATAGTCAAGTTTTTCTCCCGATCCTAAAACGACAGAGTACAGTATAGAGCCAGAGAATACCCAAGCAATGTTATTCCTCTGCCTGGGGCAGGGCCCACACAGAAGCCACACCTCCAGTTCTAGAATATTCTCTCAGGCACCAAGGTCCTCAATAGGTGTGTGCCTCTGCATACTGCAACAGCTGTGTGCATAATGTTCTTCGTGACGCTGTCTATTTAAACTCAAGTCAGTTAGAGAAAAAGCACATTCACATTAAGAAATTCTGCCTACTTAATAGGAAAATCTCCATCAAGGATGCAGATATAAACCACTTTTTGGAGATTCCTTAGGAGGATCCTTACAAGGTGACAATCACTCTGAACCTTCTGTGGACCCTCCAAGATATAGAGTCTATTTATTGCTGGTGGACTCCCAGTTTTCAATAGAGATTATGCTTTTCTCAAATCAGTTTCTGTGTGGTGCTCTATGGAACAAGAGAAATAATAAAGCCGGCCAATGCAGGCCAAAGTTGACAGCGAATGGAGACATCTGATTTAAAAGACAAATGCCTGCAAGAATAGTCCACAACCTGGCCAAGACATTAAGAGATTTTCAATCGGAAAGTGACAACTATCATTACATTATCATAAACCATATGAAAATACTCTGCAGCCTCTCATCCATGATAAACTGATGGTGCATGCACCACTGTGCGATGGCGTGCACAGACACTGTTGTAAGGAGCTCGCTGACACAGGAGGAGAACACCGTTCTCCCAGGGAAGGGGGCTAATCCTGTCATTTTGGGGAGGGACGGTGTTTAATGCATTTGATTTTAGTGAAAGCTCTAGAAAGCGCCAAAAATCCAACAGCTGTACATAATTCCCATTAGGAATCCTGACCTCAACTCATAATTGTTGGGAAAGGAGGATTTATTGTATTGTTTGTCAAATTCAAGTTTTATTTTATGTCCATAAAGCTGTGGAAAGGAAAACACTGTCTTTTTCTGACTCTAACAGGCTGTTTGCAGCTGCCTGACAATACAACACTCTGCTAAAGAGAAGAGGCACAGCCTCCAGGGCCTCAGGCGGGATTTTTCTGGATTACTAGTTGCACAAAGCAAAAGTCAAAGCCTGTTCGGACCCCAGCCTTCCTAAGCTCTGCTTCTCACAGACCCGCCATGCCTGGCCCAGCAGGGATGCTCTCGACCACCTTCAAAGCCCAAATGCCTTTTTTCAACTCATGTGTGATGACTATCCAGATATGAGGGTTCAAGCAGTCCCCAGAGAATTGCTGGGTCTTTTCAGAGGCAACAGGCTCTGCCCCAAACCCTGGGCTACCTCTTCCCTTTCATGCTACAAATAAGCTCTTTCCATAGACACCTTTTTTTTTTTTTTTTGAGGCAGGGTCTTGCTTTGTCACCCAAGCTGGAATGCAGTAGCACAATCATAGCTCACTGCAGCCTTGAACTCCTGGACTCAAGGGATTCCGGCCCCACTCAGCCTCCAGAGTAGGTGGGACTACATGCATAGGCCACTGTAAACAGCTAATTTTCAGCAAACATCTTAACACAGAGAACCAGTGTGGCCACCAAGTGCTCCACTGCCCCATAAGCAGGGAGGAAGGGGATTCTGGGCTAAAAGTGGCAACTCAAAATCCAGGTAGCTTTGTCTAAAGTAGCCCAGTGACAATCAAACCCCTGAACAGAAAGATCATCAGACACAGGACAAACCATGACCATGGCCCGAGGCTCTAGAATTTAAACTGGAAACCGTGAAAATTAACCATCCTCTTTGAATTTCTTAGAGGACTGACAGAAGACAGTATGTGCAAAAAATTTTTATTCTCCTTGTCATCCATGTTTATACCTATGAGATACTTTGTTTGCTGAAGAATATACTTTTTAGGAGATTTTCAGTCCCATAGAAGAAATGTTTTTAACTGGATTGTGACTCACTGTGGATGCCTGTGTGAGGAAAACCAGGGATGTAAAGGTCAGGATTTTGTGCAATTTGTTGGGCTGTCAAACTTTAATGAGTCTTCTGCCAAAATGATTTTGTTCGGTTAAAACTAAAACTAACCAGACGTATGACAAATATTTATGGTCGGGGTCAAGAGTGTTTATTCTTCGGCAGTTAGCTTTGAAAACAAAAGAGCTTTGACCACAGATGGACTGAAGGGAACCAAAGCTGAGAGCTTCCTGGAAGCTTAAGAGTCAAACACACAGCCCTGCTTTCTAAAGCCCATCACTTCCAGGAGTCGGCCATGAATATAGATGAGCTTCGTGGCAATGTCTATTTTTAAAGGCCAGCACACACACATACAATATGATATGCTTTCCCTGACAAAGCCAAAACTGCCAAATAATTACCACATTTCTAATTTTATGTTTGAGCTAACAAACACCAAAGCAGAAGCTGAGGTTTGATTTTAATTTTTGCTCTACTAAAATTAAACTAGATTGTCACATACTCATTTTCTCATTACAAACTCCATTTTAAAAAATATTATGACAAATCCATTTTTAAAAAGATGATTGCAAACTACATTTTTTTAAATGTAGATTTTTTGGATGTTATTCATACATATGTACACATACACGTATAGTACACATATAACAAAGATAACAGAAGAAACGACCAATTCTAAGAAGAAATAACAGCCTCATTCCATAAGGTATCATGAAGCCTAGAAAGCAGAATTCATGTTTCAGATTATAATCACATTAAAAAATTTTTTTTACTATTAGTAACATTACAAAAGCCATCAGGACTGTGTAAATGTATATATTATGTATGTTTCAAAAATTATCATTGCACACATTAAAATCAGTCAAACTTACAGATATCCGTGGCCATGTTGTGAAGTCTTGAAGATAAAAGAGAAGAGACAGAAAGAGAATAAGAGAAAAAGAGAATATAGGAAGAGATGAAAAGGAAAGAGGACAAGAAAAGAGAAAGAAGAGGAAGGAAAAGAAAAGAAGGAGAAGAAAGGAAAAGAGAGGAAGGGAAAGGGGGAGAGAGAGTAACAGGAGAGAGGTGGGAGAGAAAGGAGAGGACTCCCCTTATAGTGTCCCTAAATATTCACCCACCCTCTGACAAACCAAATAAGGTCAGGTGGCAACTCGGATAGTCAACTGTGCTGGTTATTTTAAAAACGTTCATTCAGCGCAACAGCTGAGCTGAATTGTTTTTGATATATAGTCACCTAATCCAATTCAACTTGTGTATTCATCTACTCTTGAAGCTAGGGTTAAGCAGGGGAAGTAAGGTATTAGCCCTGCCTCTTTTTTTAAATTTTTTTGAGACGGAGTCTTGTCCTGTCGTCCAGGCTGGATGGAGCGCAATGGCGGAATCTCGGCTCACTGCAATCTCCGCCTCCCGGGTTCAAACGATTCTCCTGCCTTAGCCTCCTGAGTAGTTGGGATTACAGAAGTCTGCCAACACACCAAGCTATTTTTTGTATTTTTAGTAGAGATAAAGTTTCACCATGTTGGCCAGGCTGGTCTCGAATTTCTGACCTCTTGATCCACCCGCCTTGGCCTCCCAAAGTTTTGGGATTACAGGCCTGAGCCATAGCTCTCAGCCTATCCTTGCCTTTTTAAATAAATTTTTTTTTTTTTTTTTTTTTTTTTGAGATGGAGTCTCACTCTTTCACCCAGGCTGGAGTGCAATGGTATGATCTTGGCTCACTGCCTCTCCCTCCTGGGTTCAAGCAATTCTCCTGCCTCAGCCTCCTGGGTAGCTGGGATTACAGGCACGTGCCACCATGCCCGGCTAATTTTTCTTTTGTATTTTCAGTAGAAATGGGGTTTCACCGTGTTGGTCAGGCTGGTCTCCAACTCCTGACCTTGTGATCTGCCAAAGTGCTGGGATTACAGGTGTGAGGGCCAATAAATTTTTTAAATTTGATTGTTTATTCTTAAAAAAAATTTTTTTTTAGAGATGGGGGGTCTCACTATATTGCCCTGGCTGGTCTTGAACTCTTGGCCTCAAGCAATCCTCCTTCCTCTGCCTCCCAAAGTGCTGGGATTCCAGGCATGTACCACTATGCCCCTCCCATTCCTGCCTTTGTTTTCTGTGTATTTAGTAATACATCACTACCTGGATATAAGAATCAGTTGTCTTGTTGCACTTCTGAAAAACCACTCGCTTTTAACTGAAAAGAAATGCAGCAGAGAACTATCTCACTTGCCTGTGTTATTCTGAACCCAAGGACTCTCGCATGTTCTGAGGGGCTGCTCTGAGCTAGGAAAGTGCTGCGGGAGGTTGAAGGCAGGAACGCTTAATCCCAAGGGGAATTTCCCAACCAAAGTGGCAAGTTCCCTGAGGCTGGAAAGCTTGGTGGGTTGGCAGGGAGGGCATTCCAGAGCAGATGGAGGAGAACACGGATGTGGAGGCAGAGTGGGGAGGGCCCACGTGCTTGGGAAACAGGGGCTACCCCACTGAGGGCCGAGCTCACAGTGCAGAGGGAACCATTAGTGTCATGAGAAAATAAGCAAAGAGAGCAGAAAAGACGACCAGGTCCCTCTAACAAGAAATAACAAAGTACAATCATGTTTAAAAATCAGATTCCAGGTTCACCAGGTTTCCAAGTGACCTCACAAAACCACCTGGGCTGTGGGTCCATGGTCGAAGGAGGTCCATAACCCTGGGGTCTGGCCCCATCAGCCAATCTGGCCCCTTCTTGAACCTAATACACCCTCTGGCCCCGCATTTCCTACATAGCCCAAGAGTTCTCATCCTCTTCTGTTATGGGTTCATGTTAATAAATATTTATGAGGAAAAGATAAATACACACATGCATGCACACACACAAACACACATACAGAAACACACACACACAAGCACACATACACATATATACACACTAACATCAGAGGCTTGGGAGCAGCAAAGAACCTTAGAAACACTGAAGGTCAATCTCTCGTTTTTCAGGTGAGAAAACTCCCTCAGAATCTAAGTGGCTTTGTACATGTGACAAGCACAGCGTCTCTTCTTATGATCCTACTACCAACTCCACACACATTCTAAACCGTCAGAGGTTTGCAAGTTGCAGACATTTGGGAGGAAAATACATAATATCCTTAGTAGCCACAGCAGGTACTCCAAAATCATCGGAAGGAATGAATTAATGATGAGCCTTTGGCATGGGTCACTGGGTAATCACAAGATCTCACACAAGCCGTCATCACAGAAAGGTCTAGTCGTGCACATCACAGACTTGGTTCCCAGAGGACTTTAGTTTCTATGCGTACATTTTAACTTGTCGAAAGCAAAAACAAACAAAACACTATTTAAACAAATTGCTCACAGAACCCCATGACCTTAAACCAAAATGCAAACTTAGGAAAGAACAACCAAGCAGCCAAAGGGCACGCGGTCAACAGAGACTACAGCCCCACTAGTCGCCGAACCACTCTGTCCTGGAATTCAAAGCACCTTCACGCAAACCGCTCCCTTGCTTCTCCACGGCAGTGAGAGCTGCCTTGCGAAGGGAGCTTGAAGCATTCAACTGGAGTTTTATTAGCGATGCTGAGTCTGCAGAGCATGGCTATTCAAATCCACAATTCAATTCAAAATGCGGAAATGAACATTTTATGTTTTCGGGACACAAAGAACCTACAACTGTATCCAGTGTGCGTGTGTGCATGTGTGTGTGCGTGCACGTGTGCGCGTGTGCATGATTGCACTGGGTGTTTGTATATGTGAAAGAAATAAGGAATCCCCAGAAAATTTTCCCCTAATACAATAAGCTTCCATTTCTTTTGAAAAACACAGTATTTTAGATTTTTCCTCTGCCATCCAAGTATGACAAATTACACGGATAGGCCAATAGGCAATGCATGGCAGTTCTTCAGTTCCTAGAGGCAGATACCAAGTGCAAATCCACTTCCTCTGTCCTGTGCTGTCCAACACAAGGGGCACTGCAATCTGGACTAATTAAAATGAAGTCAAGGTTAAAGTTTAATGCCTCAGTGGTACTTGCTACTAGTGGCTAGGGGCTACTCAACAGAACAGTACCAGTTTGAAAACAAATCCATCAACAGACTGTCCAGTTCTACCGGCCAGTACTGAATCAGGCCCGATGGGTTGTCCTCACCTCGTTTCAGTGGGAGAATGGGACCTCACTATATTGCCCAGGCTAGTCTCAAACTCTTGGCCTCAAGTGATCCACCCACCTCAGCCTCCCAAAGTGTTGGGATTACAGGCACGCACCACTATGCCCTGCCCATCCCTGCCTTTGTATTCTGTGGATTGAATCATACATCACTGCCTCGAAATAAGAATCAGGTAAGTCTTGTTGCACTTCTGAAAAATCAATCAAATTTTAGTAGAAAAGAAATGCAGGAGAGAACTATCTCACTTGTGTTTTTCTACACCCAAGGACACTTGCTCCATTAAGAGCTGTAAGGTTCAGCTGGGTGTTATCTGAAGCTGTCCAGGCATGTCTAACATCTTCATTTCTGTAGAAACACAGCTATTTGCATATAGTGGCATTTTGGTCAATGATGGACCGCCTATGCTCTGGTGGTCCCTTAAGATTACGATGGCTACACCATCGACCCCAGTGTGTAGTGGGCTGTACCATCTAGGTTTGTGGAAATGCACTCTCTGGTGGTTGCAGAACGATGAAATCACCCAAGGACACATTTATCAGAAGGTACCCCTGTTGTTAAGTAACATGTAACTAATCAGAACGTGACTTTTCCTCAGATGCATTTGTTCTTCACTTTTTGGGAGTCACAGCCCCTTTAAGAAAAGTGATGACAACAGTGGATGCTCTCCTTTACTAAATGAGCTTTCAAAAAAAAAAAGAACCCTAACATTTTCCATACAGTTTTGGGGAAATATTCCAACATTCTAAAGTTTGTTCTTGGACTCCAGTTTAAAAACCATCTGCTTGGCCAGGCGCGTGGCTCATGCCTAGAATCCCAGCACTTTGGGAGGCTGAGGTGGGTAGATCACTTGAGGTCAGGAGTTCAAGACCAGCCTGGCCAAGATGATGAAACCCCATCTTTACTAAAATTACAAAAATTAGTCGGGCTGGGTGGTGTGCACCTATAATCCCAGCTACTCAAGAGGCTGAGGCAGGAGAACCACTTGAAAACGGGAGGCGGTGGTTGCAGTGAGCTGAGATTGATTGCACCACTGCTCTCCAGCCTGGGCAACAGAGTGAGACTCCATCTCAAAAAACAAAAAACAAACAAAAAAACCCCATCTGCTCAGCAAAATCATTTACAGTGCTCATTTGAAACACAACTTCCCTGAAATAACAATTTGACTTCACCTATCTTAGGTTACTTTTTTTTTTTAAGTAAAAACAAAGTCTCATTAAAAAGAATTGAGCTCATTAATGGTAGAAATTTTCATCCATTCTTATGTTAGCCTGGGAGATATTACATGCATAAAAATTAGCTCAGAAAACTCTCTCCATTAAAATACCATGGTAATTTGTTCTCCACAAATCTTAGAGCATCCATTTACCATCTAATTATTATTTTCATCTAGAGAGCTACTGAATACATTGTAATTTACTTTTAATGAAATAATTATCTTGTGAAGGACAAATGTTGAGATGTTTATGGCCCCATGAACCAACCAATGTCTTTCAACTTGTGCAAAATTAAATGTAAAGATATTACTAACATAAAGGTAGGCAGGAAGGCAGCTAATGTTCTAGCTTGTAAAAAATCAGCTTCACCCAGTGATAGAAGTGACCAGGTGAATCGTCTTAAAAAGAAAAAACACACAGAAAGATTATATATTCAAAAGTTTCCATTCTAAGTTAGATTCTCTGACACTATTAGTGATACACAGTAGTCAATCCTATGTTACTAAAGTCTTTCTAAAATCATTTCAGTCTTCAGGTAAGACTACCTTTATTTTTAATTTTTGATAAGTTTAATAAAGTTCTGCGACAAGGTCTGAAAGTAAGAAAGAGTCAAGTTGATCCAATGACTTATTTCTATAACATCCTGCTTGATATCAACATCAAGCTTTGCCTTGGCAATGAATCAACATTTTATAGATAGAATTTTATGATGGCAGAGAGAGCATGGATTTTAAAAACAGAGAGAGGGCTGGGCATGGTGGCTCATGCCTATAATCCCAGCACTTTGGGAGGTTGAGGTGGGTGGATCACGAGGTCAGAAGTTCAAGACCAGCCTGGCCAAGATGGTGAAACCCCGTCTCTACTGAAAATACAAAAAATAGCTGGGCACAGTGGCAGGCACCTGTAATCCCAGCTACTCTGGAGGCTGAGGCAGGAGCATTGCTTGAACCTGGCAGCAGAGGTTGCAGTGAGCTGAGATCGCATCTCTGTACTCCATCCTGGGTGACAGAATGAGACTCCGTCTCAAAAAAAAAAAAAAAAAAAAAAAAATAGAGAGATGGGTTTGACTTGTACTTACTTCAATTAAATATATATTGTTAAATGCATATGAACTTTATCAGTGTAAACTCTAAAGGAAGAGAATTTCAGAAGATACAAAATGCAAACCATAGGAAGATACTGAGCCTAACAAGGGTATCCTTTGGTTAGGAACCATGCTGGGTTTTTTTTTTCCCCATCTTTGAGGTACAATTGACAAATGAAAATTGTATATACTTAAGGTATGCAGCATAGTGTTTTGATATAAAAGCTGAACTCACAGAAATAATGGTAACCAGGGGCTGGAGGCAAAAGAAAATGTAAAGATGTTGGTTAAAGGATGCAAACTTGCAGTTACGAGCACGTTCTGGAGACCTAAAGTATAGCATAGACTACAATTGCTAGCAATGTATTGTATATTTAAAATTTCCCAAGAAAGTAGATCTTAGGTTTTCTCGAGGCACATACAAACGGTTATGGCCCCTACATCAGACACAAGTAACTACGTGAAACCATGGTAGGTATTTGACATTTTATCAGTTACCTAACATTTGAACAACAGATGGAGGGTTGAAGATCAAGAGAATCACTCAGGGTTCTTGAGTACCTTTCCATTGGAACTTAAACCGTACAAGGGCAGGAATTTTGTTTTCCACCACTCTTTCCCCAATGCTTATACCAGTCCCTGACACACAGTAAGTGCTCAGAAAATAACCGTTGAGAATGAATAAATCCCTGGCAGTGAGCCAATCAACTTAGAGGGAAACGAAAGCCAAGCACATCCCATCCTGTTGTGAAGAGGAAGATCCTGACTGTCTCAGGCATCGCTGTGTGAGTTTGCTGTGACCACATTGGGGTTTCACATCAGGAGAAGAAGTGAAAGTCCAAATGGAGGTAAGAATAAATCAGGTTAGAGAAAAGAAAATGGACATACTTAAATGAACACAAAAGAAACTATGAGAGCTCAATTTGAAGAGATGTCAGAAACTTTCTAAAACAAAGAATCAAAGACAGGGAATGATGACCAAGGCATCAGAGAAGGGAGAAACAGTCTGCATATTTCAAAAGAAACATGCAAGAAGAGTGAGAGGACTTATTTTTAAAAAGATCTTTCTTGGCTGGGCGCGGTGGCTCATGCCTGTAATCCCAGCACTTTGGGAGGCCGAGGCGGGCAGATGACGAGGTCAAGAGATTGAGACCATCCTGGCCAACACCGTGAAACCCCGTCTCTACTAAAAATATAAAAATTATCTGGGCGTGGTGGTGAGCACCTGTAGTCCCAGCTACTCAGGAGGCTGAGGCAGGAGAATTGCTTGAACTCAGGAGGCAGAGGTTGCAGTGAGCCGAGATTGCGCCATTGCACTCTAGCCTGGTGCTCCGCAATGAAGTGAGACACTGTCTAAAATATATCAACCCATTTCTAACTTGTTCCTGCTCTCCCACTTTGAACTAGATATGAGATACAAGGTGTCTCCTTTCCAAGGAACACCAGAGTATCCTCAATCTCTGAAACATTTGGATTACAGAATCCCAATACCTAAAAGGAACCTTAGAAATCCTCCAGTCCAATCTTCCTTTGAATGAATGAGGCCACTGAGGCTCAGAGATGTTAAGAATTTACCCAAGGTTACACAGCTGGTTCTTCATGAAAATCAATGCTGCTCCTTCTTCCTTGAGCCATTGACACTTTCAATTTCCAGATGAAATCTTCCTCCTCCACCAAGAGCAGGGAAAACACTTCTTCTGACTTTTGGAGAGGTAAGTGAATGAGTGAATGAACCAAGTATGTTTGCTCTGAGGGCCCCTATATCACTTTGCTCCACTGTGTTCTCCATGCCCCATACCCAAAGTATTTCTTTTTGAAATCTTTAAGAATAGTTGGCTGCCTGAAAGCTCCCTGACCTCTCTGGAGTGAAGACAAGATACAAATCCAAATTCATAAATTCCACCTCAAATGGGAGGATTCTGTGTTGGGTAAAGTACATCCCATGAAGCTTAGTCACCCTATTCTGAAGCACCATGGCCAATTTTATCTAATCATGGAATTTTAAAATATTCAGCACTTTCAATAAAAAAATGTATGAAATCATAAAGTCAAATGGTTATGTGTGTGTGACTAAAATGAACATCTGGGGGAAATTAAGCCTAACAGCATGATTTGGACAGCTAGCTGTTTCTTAATGGGATACCCAAGCCTTTTTTTTTTTTAAATTTTTTATTGCATTTTAGGTTTTGGGGTACATGTGCAGAACATGCAAGACAGTTGCATAGGTACACACATGTCAGTGTGTTTTGCTTCCTTTCTCCCCTTCACCCGCATCTGGCATTTCTCCCCAAGCTATCTCTCTCCAGCTCCCTCCCCCCGCTGGCCCTCCCCTTTTCCCCCCAATAGACCCCAGTGTTCAGTACTCCCCTCCCTGTGTCCATGTGTTCTCATTTTTCATCACCCGCCTATGAGTGAGAATATGCGGTATTTCATTTTCTGTTCTTGTGTCAGTTTGCTGAGAATGATGTTCTCCAGATTCATCCATGTCCCTACAAACGACATGAACTCATCATTTCTGATTGCTGCATAATATTCCGTGGTGTATATGTGCCACATTTTCTCAGTCCAGTCTATCATCGATGGGCATTTGGGTTGGTTCTGGGTCTTTGTTATTGTAAACAGTGCCGCAATGAACATTCATGTACATGTGTCCTTATAGTAGAACGAAAGGACATATACCCAGTAATGGGATTGCTGGGTCAAATGGAATTTTTATTTCTAAGGCCTTGAGGAAACGCCACACTGTCTTCCACAATGGTTGAACTAATTTACACTCCCACCAGCAGTGTAAAAGTGTTCCTTTTTCTCCACATCCTCTCCAGCATCTGTTGTCTCCAGATTTTTAATGATCGCCATTCTAACTGGCGTGAGATGGTATCTCAGTGTGGTTTTGATTTGCATCTCTCTGATGACCAGTGATGATGAGCATTTTTTCATATGATTGTTGGCCTCATATATGTCTTCTTTTGTAAAGTGTCTGTTCATATCCTTTGCCCATTTTTGAATGGGCTTGCTTGTTTTTTTCTTGTAAATCTGTTTGAGTTCTTTGTAAATTCTGGATAGCAGCCCTTTGTCAGATGGGTAAACTGCAAAAATTTTTTCCCATTCTGTTGGTTGCCGATTCACTCTAGTGACTGTTTCTTTTGCCGTGCAGAAGCTGTGGAGTTTGATTAGGTCCCATTTGTCTATTTTGGCTTTTGTTGCCAATGCTTTTGGTGTTTTGTTCATGAAGTCCTTGCCTACTCCTATGTCCTGGATGGTTTTGCCTAGATTTTCTTCTAGGGTTCATATGGAACCAAAAGAGAGCCCGCATAGCCAAGTCAATTCTAAGCAAAAAGAACACAGCGGGGGCATCACACTACCAGATTTCAAACTATACTACAAGGCTACAGTAATCAAAACAGCATGGTACTGGTACCAAAACAGAGATATAGATCAATGGAACAAAACAGAGGCATCGGAGGCAACACAACATATCTACAACCATACAATCTTTGATAAACCTGACAAAAACAAGCAATGGGGAAAGGATTCCCTGTTTAATAAATGGTGTTGGGAAAACTGGCTAGCCATGTGCAGAAAGCAGAAACTGGACCCCTTCCTGACACCTTACACTAAAATTAACTCCAGATGGATTAAAGACTTAAACATAAGACCTGGCACCAAGCCTTTTTTTCTAACCTGGCTCAAACCTATAGAGTCATTAGCTGGTTTAGCTGTCTGACGCAATATTTGCAAACAAATAATAAGACATTATAATGCCATGTCTTGGTTTTCATAATAGCAACTGCTAAGGGAATAAATTAATTACAAAATAAACAAATGTAGCTGAATTTTGTAACCAACCTAGGACATGGTAAACTAAACCATCACCTTAACTCTAACAAAAAATTCCTAATAAGAAAATTTATATCCAAAACTACTAAAATGTGTGAATGTCATTTTAGCTTTCATAATCTATGTCTTAATTCAATATATTTTAAGCCACTGAAAAGCAACTGCTCTCTCATTTGGGTTTTGGCTGGAGTGTTTTGTTTTGTTGAGTGTGTAACACGTGTGCAATTGCAACATATATACGTCTTGGATTTTTGGCTAAATGAGATCAATTAGGTATAATGTTTCAGAATGTATGAAAGAGTATTTACTTAAAATTTTGAAATAAATCTTTAAAGTCTGTGAGATCTTAAAACCCTAAAAATATCAATCTGGTTTTTCTATTCAATGACTGTGTATATCCATCCAAGCCTAAGTTATCTGCCAACTTTCCATGCTCAGAACTTAATTGACAGTCCAGAAAGAAATGAGAGGCCTCTGAGAAACCAAAACACAGTTCACAAATCATAGGTGCATTAACATAAAAAGCCCTTTAGGTCTTCTCCCAGAACCCAGTTGTTCTTTCCTATCAATAGCAGATACAGAGGATACAAATTCTCACACAGCTAATTGGGAGTTAATTCTAATTACAAACAGAAAAATCAGCTCTAAAAGCCAGATGAATGCATTCCACCTGAAATGGACAGGTTGTACAATTCACCTTATAAAGAGGAAAACCAGGATTCTTTTTAAATCTTAAATGGACCCTAAGAAGAAAAGCTGAGCAAGCAAAGAGACAGAAAATGATTTTAAAAATAAGGCCACCAGGAAACCTCAAGATCACAGCAGGCTGTGGACGCTGAGTGTGGAGGTTGGAGCCCCATCACCCTCACTAAACCTGAGATTCTCATGGAGAGGCGCTCCATCCCAGGGAGCCTAGAGGGACATCAAAGCAACCAGGAGGCCTTGAAAGGTCTCCAAGAGGAGAGGACAGAAGAGCTTCTGATCGGTGCTGAGGAATGAGTGGGCAGGAACAGAAGTGATCGCTTGAGGACAAGGAGAGCTTTATTTAGAATGGATGAAATTTGAGGATGTTTTCAAC